GCCGCAGTAAGCGCCATCATTGTCGCTTTGAAAAATTGACCGACGAGCCACATCAGCCTCCTTGATCCTAATAGGGATAGGGGAATCACGCAACAGACGCTCAAAACTGGAAGTGAGCTCGTCCTTGCTCTTGACCGGGTCCAAGAACAAATAACCCGTGGCCACATCCTTGTAGGCGATGATATACTTGTCACCATACAGTGAGGGTGTCGAAATGGGCCCAAACATGTCCGAGACAATCAGGTCTCCAGGTCGGCGCGGCGTCCTCGGGTGGGCCTTCTTGGGAATGGTCGCCATCTTGGCCTTGAAAAGATGGCACTGTTCGCAGTCGGCAATCTTGCCCGACAATTGCTGCATATCCAAATCCTCATTGCGCAGCATAGCACGCATTGCATCTGCAGGCGGATGGCCCAGGCGACGATGCATCTCCACCATGGCATTAAAAGCCATGTTGGGAACCAGCGTGTAAGTAAACGAGTACAGAGCAAGCCCATTGCGATTGCACTCTGCCTTCCAGACGGCATCGCCCTGCTTCATGACGATGGTCTTGTAATCCGGCATCTTGACGTCCGTTCCGGCTTCACCCAGCTGACGGGGAGAAACCAAGTTGCGCTTAAAACTAGGCACATACAGGGCATCGCGCAGCACCACTTGCACACGCGAACCATCCACGCCATCAACAAACATGCGCGCAGTGCCCACACCTTGGGACAATACCGTGGTCCCGCCCGATTCAATGGGCACCTTGTGGATCATCATGGTCTCAAACAAACGTTCATCGTTGAGGAAGTGGCTGCTGGCACCCGAGTCCACGATAGCCATGCCTTGGTCCGCACGCAGATGAAAATTTGCCTCCTCAGGCCCCTGCAAAACAGATGTATAGGCATGTGCCTGATCATGGCTGTTCTTGCTGCTGTTGCCGCCCTTGGATCCATGCTCCTTGTGCTTGGCCGACCGCCAAGCCTCACAGTCTGCTTTCTTGTGGCCATAGCCCTTGCAGTAGTGACAATTGCCGTTGAACCGGTGCAAGTCCTTGACCTCCGGCTCATGCTTCCTATTGGATCCA